TGTGAAGATGAATTTTGCAGGTCTTATATTATGGAAGGCGTTTGCAAGGGACCAAAGAATGATTTAGGCAGAAAGGCGTGAAAGGGAAAAGAAACATCGCTCTTTCTCGTTTATTAGTATAAGTGTCTTGGGCTGAGATTTAGAGATCAGCATTTCTTGACCTGTGTCCCTAAAACACACAGATAAATATTTTGAACTTTAACCTGCACCCAAAATACGCCAGTGGTGAACTTTTTATTGAAAACAGCCATTGAAAGCTTTAATCTATGCTTTTCAGCGACTGACAGTGCAAGGCTCTGATGCAATTTTAACCAATCAGATCACACTACAAAAAAGCTATAGGTAAGTTAAACAAAAACTACTTTACACTTTTAACCAACCTGATAGCATGCATGGAGCACAGCACCCCACTTGGAATATCAGAGGTGAGGAATATTTTTCCAGGCCTTTGATTTTCAATGCTACCATAGTATATAAATTTTGCTTATGAGAAAGGCACTCACTCTGGGGAAATTCTTAGGCAGAAAGAAGAAAGTTTCTCAGATATTTATAGCCAAAATATTTCAAACCATAGGTAGCTATATTTATGCTTGGTTCTTATTTTAATAAACACTAAGCATTGCTTGCCCACAAAGACATTTTCGGTATCACTTTAGAAAAGAAATATTCTCTTTCACCACAAATGCACATGTTTCTTTTTTCTGTTTTAAAAAAAAGCAGGTAGAAATTTTGCAAACATGGTAAAATATGTTACCGCCTGCAGGCTTACTTAGAATGTGCCTCTCCAAATCTTTTCTACACTGATTAAAAATTAAAAATCTACTGTTAGCAAGGAAGATAATGAGTAACCCCAGGCCAACTTTGGGGGAAGTAGAAGCAAAGATGAGGAACACAAATGTGCTTGGTCCTAAGCCCATGACTCAAGAGAGCATCATAAATACATAATGTCCCCCTGAACGTCGTTAAAACTAGCAGATAAGCAGCCAGTACCCTATACCCTGCTCTAGTGCAATTTCTCAGGTTAATCTTTTATTAGCCAGTGAAGTATTTTGTTTAGTTTTGTTTTTTAAGACTATTTCCTAACAATGCCTTTGATATCATTATCCTCGTTGAATAAGAACAGTTGATGCATAAGTGTCTAGGAAGATAGAGAGAGGGCTGGAGCCTAATCTTCCAAGACAGACTTAGATAGGAACTTCACATTCAGATGGCTGAAATCTGAGGATAACCTCTGGCCGTAAACTGATTTCTACAATTTCCCAGCCTTGACTTGCCAAAGGCCTGCCTCTTGGATACGACAAGAAACTTTTGGCTCACACGGGGACTTGTCACAGATGTTTCCATACACAGGAGGTATTTGGGCAAAAGAAATCCAATCTTAAACATTACACAAACCTCTCTGGAAAAAAACAGAATAACTGAAGACCCCCAAAGCTGTTCACACTAATTGCAATTTCTGGTTTAGAGCCCCAGGAAAGTTCTCTCTAAACACATATCCTCAGGCGCTCACCTGTAATGGGATAGACTCAGAGATGTTTACAAATGAATGTGGGGGTTTATTTTGCAGCCAAACAGTAAATGCCACAACAAGCTGAGAAGAGAAACCTTTCTTTCTGGAAGGACAGCAAACAGTAGCCTAACATGAGGCTTCCCATTTTCTCAGCCAGCAGGGCACTGGGCAGGCGGAATCCACGCTTCCATTTCTGAAGACGGATCACGGACCATGACGAATGTGGGATTTCATAGAACAAGCACTGGGCTGGATGTCAAGAGACGTTAGTTCTGATTTTAATTCTGTCCCCACCCAGTCATTTTACTATGGCAAAGCAACGGAAGCAACCGAGTCTCAATTTCTTTCTTTGTAAAAGGGAAGTAGTGGTATGGTGGGAAGGAAACAAACACATATTGAATGTCTACTGTGTATAAACAGTATGTGAAATCTATGACCAAGGACCCTGCAATGAGGGGTCACACTTACATGATATTACAGATGAGGAAATGGAGGTTCTGAGATAAAATCACTTAACCAAAGATACACATTCTGGAAGAGATAATAGAGGCCAAATTCCTAGTACAAAGCTGGCTTTCCCCATCCTATCACGTTCCACTTGGAGATCCAAGATGTGTAAGTATTCTAAATTTGAAGCTAGCTTTCCAGGATAGAGTGAAGGTATACTTGTAAATATAAATATAAAAATATATGCAAGTTTGTTAGAATGGTGTATAATTTAAATACCCATAAGAACTTGGGGTCTGAGCCCCTCAAATGTTAGAGACAGCTATGAATGTTAAAATGCATTTTTGCTGGAGAGGAATTATCCTTATTAAATGTAGGTACAGAGCAGCCACAGATACCTGATACTTTTGTAAGTTTTTAATGTCTACAAAGCTGTGTCTCATATGTAATGTCACTTGAGTCTCCCAACCACACACTATAAGGTTGGAAGGGGTTATCACCCATGTTTTGCAGGTAAGGTCATTGTAGTCAGTGCCTCTGGGGTCTGTGTCACCTCCCCTGTCCCACTTCTGATTGCAGCAGCAGTGGTGTTGTGGGGAGTTCCAGGTGAGCTCAGACCCACCTTATATGACCAGCATCCAACCTCAAGAATGTGCTGTGCTCCCTCTCCCAGAACTCCCCGCCCCCCTTCATCCACATTCCAGCAGGGCCTGCAAGGGTGGGAATGCTACCCCTGGGGAAACCCTGAATCAACACAGGAGGACAGAAGCCACTGGGCAGAGGGCTCCTGTCTTTCTGATAGGCAAATTCAAAAGGACTTCTGTGCACTTCAGAGAAATCGCAGTGGAGCCAAGCGCCTGTGGAAGCCCCTGTTGTCTATAGGAGTGACTTAGTAACACACCCTCATATGTTCTCCTTCCTTGACTCGCTTTCCTCACTTCTCATTCCTGTTTCTAAACAAAATAATCTACTTGCACCCAAGTCCTTGTCTCAGGCTTTGCTTTGAGAAGGCCAGACTATAAGAGGCCCTGAGACTTCAGAGGGGAGGGGACTCGCAGAGCCACCGCCCCCGGTTCTGCTGGCTCTTCATCCAGTGAATCTCTTTTATCATCTACGTTCAGTTGTGCACGCAGGTTACGAAACTAACTTCTACTTTTTAACAATAAAACAAGCTCAAAAAATACATGATTTACCACAAAATGAATAATAAACAACTAGTTTTGCTGGACGTTACACAGGTGATCTGCTAGGTTACCATAAAAACAAAACAAAACAAAAAAAACCTTTGCATTTTTCAAAAATTTGAAGTATTACATTTTGCTTTGCTGGTGTCAGACAAGTAAATTAGAAATGTACAGTTTCACCCCAAGTTATACAGATGAGAAAGCTGGAGTTTCAGGGCTTTCCAGTGTTATACTTTTAACTATGATTGGAACCAAAATTAGACTCTTTTCTACTCCAGGAACACTCCAGGCTTTCTCTACCAAATCTGTTCAAAGTCAGGATTATAGATTATCCTCAATGAAGAGAACTGGCCTGGAGCTTTATGATAAGACACTTTTTTTTTTAATGTTCCTCCCTTTTCCATTAATTGCACCATAGTTTTCACCTCTTGACCTCTCAGTCCATGTACTTCAGGTCTAACTGACCCACCAGCCCTCACTTCCCAAGCCAGAATATGACATCCACTGACCAATTAGTACATTCTCCTCTCTGGCCACAGTGATTGGCTCAGAGAATGGACAAAGACCCAAGCCCGGCCAATTGGAGTGAGTGTGTATTGAGACTTTGATGAGAAATAGCTCCTGTTTTTCAGTTGGGAGCTGAACCAGTAGGCTGCAAGTCTTTAGTGCCTGGTGGTCATCTTGCCATCACCCAGGAAGAGCTTGACTGAAAATGAAGCCAATAAAAGCGAAAGCACAGCACAGAGATGGGTGGAGACAGACTACTGATACGACACAGATCTAGTCTTCCCCAAATTTGGATTTGCCACTGAACTTGACAGTCGCAGGAGCTAATACATGACTGCTTCATCTTTTTTCAGGCTTCTGCCACTTGGGATTCAACAAGTCCTTCCTGGAACAGGCTCTGCACTCAAGCATTAAAGAGACCCAATGCAGTGCGTCTCTGAAGAAACAAATAACTGTTTCCCACTCCCAAGGAATAAGCTAGGAGGGCCAAGAAGCAGAAGCTAATCAAACCAGAGCGCCTCAGGGACGAGGTTCCGAATAAGCCTCTTTATGAATCCACAAAGCAGCAAGCCTCAGACAAACCCCATCACCGTTAGTGCAGTGAACTTGAACTCCACAAACATTGTTTTCATCAGCTAGGTGCTTCAATTCAAAATCCAACCGTAGCTACAGTTCAGAGGAAGAACCTTAGAGCGGGAGTTCGGTTTGCCCATTTTTCTTCCTTTTGCTTAAAATTAAATAGCAGCATGGAGAATCATGTTTTTACATTTGTGAGCTCTTAGAAAAGCTTCTGATCATTTTTCTACCCTCTGCTAAGCTGAATAACAAGAACTAGAGAGGCAGCTGAGAGAGAGAAAGAGAGAGAGAGAGAGAGAGAGAGAGATGCTGAAACCAAAACCAAGAAACTTGCCCTCGGCAATACGGATGCATAGGAAACAATGAATTGTACTTATTTTTAAAAGGTTTCCCCACCTCCCTCCAGAAAAGTTACCATTAGATCTATCAGATATAATGTTTCAAAGGCAGAGAGACAAGTCTTAAGTTTGTAAGGCAGGCAGGTTTTTTGGGCAAGGGCGCCTCAGGTGTTTTCAGAGCCTAGCCCAATCTCTGGCTGTGGAAGGGAAATGGGTGAGTGGGGACAAGTTTACCAGATGGCCCCCCTGAGGAGGAGTGGGGACAGGTGCTGGCCCAAGGCTAAAGTATATACATAGGCCTCCAAGCCTTTGTCATTTCTTAAATACACATGCTGTGCAGACCACCATGCTCCCTCTAGTCATCCATCTAGTCGGCCATCGTGTTAGGAATGCCTGAGGGCATTACCTTTGGCATTTGGATGGGACACACAGACTCACCTGATGAATTCCACAGAATAGTTCTGAATAAGGGAGCTTCCTTCACTCTCTCCAGGTTTCCAAGATAGGGCCACCTCGGACTCAGAAACCACAGTGACGTGTGGCTGTTGGGGTGCTGCTGGAGGCAGACAGGAATCTAGGCAGGGCAGAAAACAACTAGTTGGCTTATGGTCTTTGCTGCTGGAGAGGTTTAATATATTAAAAAATTGTGCTTCCTACAACCTAAACATGTCTATTCAAAACAGCCTCAAAATCCAAACCAACCAACCAAACAAAGATAATCAAAACTGGATTCATCATATAGGGCTTGAGTCAATGAGAGCCAGTCTTCCCTTCTTCCCCTAGCCCCACTGGTTGAAAATCCAACTAAATTATGTTTAGACCATTAAGCCCAGAACACACAATGGTGCATGTACCCTTTCAAACTTTCAATCACACTCCCACCTCCTAACAACTATTCATCTTTGTTTGCATGTCAGAATTGTTATTTACCTACAAGGGAAATTAAGTGTTTAGCCACTTACTTTCAGTGTGTGGGTATGTGTGTGTGTGTGTGTGTGTGTGTGTGTGTGTTGTTTCCCCTGATCATCAGAATACATACCAATGGTAGGACATTGGGAAATGCTCTGATGTGTAAAGACATAGGAGTCACCCATGATCCTCTCATCACAAGGTAACTGCTGTTACTATTTTTATATCCAGACTTTCATATCTCTCAGCCTTTGTTTATACTATTGCTTCTACCAGAAACATTTTCCGTGCCTTCTCTCCCTAGCAAAAGACCTGTGCAGGTTTCAAAATTTGAACTAAAGATATGTTTCTTCCAGAAACTCTCCCTGAACCCCAAGGCGGAGGAAGTGCTCCCTCCCGAGTGCTCCAGGGCCCATGGTGCAGACACACTGGAGCTACCTGCTTTTCATTTGCATCTCCCTCCACAATGCGCGGCTTGTGAGCAATGATGCATGACCAAAGCATCATTTGTCCCCCCGATGTCCAGCACGATGCCACCTCAGTGAGCCTTTGTTGGAATCCTTTGGCCTATAAACCTCTCCTCGCATTCCCCTTCCTCACCTTCTTCATTCCCACTCACCATCAGATCTCCAATTAGCAGTCATCTCCTCAGGAAATTCTCACCTCACCTCTACATCGGGTCTTCCTTGGTACATCCTTACAGCCCTGTAAGTAGCGCTTATCACAACCTGTGACTACATATTAACTAGATAATGTCTCAACCCACCCCCACTAAGTTCTGAGAGGGCAGAAGCTGTGTTCTGTTCACCACTAAATTCCAGAGCCTAGTACAGTGCCTGGCACCTAGTAGATCCTTATTGGTCTATACTAAAAGAAGCAATGAATGAAGAACACCCGTCACTTCCTATTATTAATGAATTGAACCCATTTTACCTTGGGGCAAAGTGGTAACGTGTCGAGGATTGCTAAACCGCCCTTTGCCCGTCAGGCTGTAAGCTGCTACGCTCACTCGATATTCAGTGCCTGGTTTCAAATGTCCGATCACTTGCTCCTGTCAATGACAAACAAGAAGTGCATCAATGATCAGAAGTTCTTTTGGGGCAAAGCAGACAATTTCCATGACAGCTGCATCTTGAGGTCCCTGTGAAATTGCTTGGGACAGAGATTGTTTTGCTTTCTCTAAGATTGAACAAGTTTTAAAATTTGGAAAGGGGAAAACAACCACGACATATTTCCCAAGACTAGAGAATTACTCTTTATGGGGACCTGTACCATGAGTGACTAAGGACAGAGAGGATGTATAGTGTGGATACACTCGACAAAGGGGCGATTCATGTGCAGGCGGGACAGAGCAGGATGGCAGGCAATTCCATCACACTTACCCAGGATGGCGCGCAATGTAAAACATATAAAATGTTTATTTCTGGAATTTTCCATTTCATATTTTCAGACCTTGTTTGACCGTAGGTAACAAAACCATGGAGAGCGAAACCTTGGCTAGGGAAGACTGCTTGGGTAAGCTCAGCCATCTACTACTACTCAGCCTCTAGCACCACCTTCAGATGACAGCTCTGATCTGCCTCCTGAGGTCCAGATGTGGGTTTGTGATGGCCTCATGGCCATCTCTACTCAACAACTGCCATGCAACTCAGATTCAATGTAGCCAAAGCTTAACTCCTCCCACCAAAAACAAAACAAAAAATCGCTTCATCTCTCGTGCTCTTTCCTCTCATTACCCAAACCAGAAATTCTTGACACTTCCTCTCCTTGTTCACTCCCCTTCTGTAACCTCTGTCCAATCAGTTACCAATATTGACCAGTACTCTGTCACATCACATGAATCTCTTTATGTCATTTCATCCTCACAGACATTTAAAGCCAAGTCCGCATAACTATGACATTGGGCCCTGATTCTTGCTGCCGCCAGTACTGCCTGCATCTCCAGTGTAGACGTCACACTTCTAGAGCGACTTACGTTCCTAAACACCGAAGCTGACCATGTCACTCCCCACTTTAAAACCCCCTTAGACGAGCATGTTTGTGTCCCCCTGTTTATCCTTCCAACATCATCCTGTGCCTCCTCCCTTCCTTGTGTTCTATATTCCAGTCATACTTAAGAACTTGGCAGGGCTCAAATTTATGCCATTCGCTTCCTTGCCTCTGGGCCTTTGAACCTGCTGCTCCCTCCACGTGAAACGCCCTTTGCCCCACTCTTCCCCGGCTTCCTCCTGCTTGTCCTTCATGACTCACTTCAGCTGAGACATTACCTCATTTCTCTGACCCCCAGCCTCCAGTCTGGTTAGGCATCCCTCCTCTGTGCTTCCTGGTGTCCTCGGTGTCCCTCAGTCTTAACACCACTCACCTTATATTGTAATTGTCTGTTTATTTGTCACCTGCTCACCACCCCCTTGAGAGCAGGAAGCGAGTTCTGATTCCTCTGGCATCGCAAAGCTTTGTGGAGTACTACCAGACATGGAGCAAATGCCCAAGCAATGCTTTCTGATGAATGAATAGATGAACTAGTCAATGAACAAAAGGAAGAAATTAAACCATGATGTCCAATCTACGCAGATTACCTCATTAAGAACCAGCTCCTACTACTGGCCCCTCCATCTTGATTAAGCACCTTTGCCCCAGGCTCTGGAGGTAGTCATTCCAGATGCAGGGCTGACTTCCTCTGAGCCACCCACCCCCAGCCACCTCCATATGCCTGTCAGACCTGCTCCCTTCTCCCATCTCCTCTGAATCTTTACCTGCACCATTTCTACAGCCACCCGGAGAGTGTCTATGTCCAATCCTCCCCTCACTCTCCCACCCCCACTCTATCTTACATGCAGCTTCACAAGGGGTCTTTGCTGAACATATGGACCTGCTTTCACAGGCCCCCTCCTGCTCTAATTCCCTGCATCTGCGCATCCTAGTTCCACCATCTGTCCCCTGGTTTCATGGCAAGTTGGGTGGTGAAGAGACTGGGAGGTAGCAGGTGGACAAGACGCGGTTCTCACTTTTCTCTCGACGGCCCCTCCCAGCCTTTTCCCGTGGAAGCGGAAATACATTTGCTGTCACGGGCTTTTGCTTTAGGATTCTTTTTCCTGTGAATTCATTATGTTGTATGAAAGATGGGTGTAGTGATGTGGTTTCATAGATTATTACAGATATTAGCTATGAGCCAATACCCAAAACAGCCATCATTAGATCCTATGCATTGCTTCTCTGATCCAGGAACACGTATACCCTGGTTTAATTCTTCCTTCAGTCCTATGAGATAGGTATCACTCTTATTTTCATTTACAGAAAAGAAAAAGAAATCCCTGAAAAGTTAATAATTTGCTCAAGGACATATACTTATTAGGTGGCAAACGGGGCATTTGAAACCTACTTTGTTTGATTCCAAGGTCCAATTTCTAATTTAATAATACATGTATGAACAATAGTAGATATTTAAATCTACAAAGCATACTTATATCATAAACACTGAAGAACAGGTTATTATTTTATCTATAAACATGACAGTTTATATATACCAGAAATTTAAAAGTTATCACTGAAAATCAAGAGAAATTATACTTGTAAAAGCTCCTTATGTAGATTAACAAACAATTAAATTCTTTATTAGATATGGGAGATTAGCGCTACCTTTAGCCCAGGTATATTCTGAGAGGTAGAGGGTTACCCTCCCAGAAGCCAACTATTTCTAGTCTTTTTCTGTATCTTTCCTGTGCTGACAGCCTGGTAAGTTGGCATCCGGAGTGAGGTCTAGGGGGCTGAGTAGCTGGGGCCAGGCAAAGAAGAGTTGGATTCAGTAATTCAACCATCACTTCTTCCTTTGACATCACACCTCCCAAATGAAATCTTTCATTATATTGTGACTTCTGATAACCCTTGGATTCTTTAGTGAAATTCCATACAATCCACAAATCTTTATATTTTTGTCCTTAAATGTCTTATAACCACTATTTCAACCTTGCACTAAATACATAAAATGCTGAATATACTCTTTTAGAAGCAGAAAAGCCAAGTGTTTTGTTTTGTTGCCTTACAAAAGTTTAAAAACAAGTCAAAACGTTTCTCTCTCTTGTACTTTATTTCTACACAAGATGGTGAGAAACAGAGTGAGAGAAATTGCTTTCTTGGAGTAGAGGCCAGAGTGAATTCAATTCCCCTGGCTCCTCCCACACCTTTTATTTTCTTTGGCAAACTTGGGTGCTTTCCTGCAAAACAACCCTGCTTTGTGTTTGTCTAGCCCTTTCTGAAATGAAAAATCCCTTCTAAAAGTTGCTTCCTTTGTCTTCTCAACACCACACATGAATGTCATGCAATCAGAGAATTATATCTACAGAAGAGAAAAGCAAAGCTAGTTGATTCATCGAGCCCAAGGAGAAAGCTCAAACAACTTTGAACCAAGTGAGCTATTCCCCAGGAATCCTGCTTCCTTCACATAGTACCAGAAACAACAAACTTTCATCATACGATTAGTATAATAACACTTTGCATTTATATATCATTTTAAAATTTATGAAATCTTTGCACACCATTGTCACATTTAATCCACACAACAGTCCCAAGAGGTCAGTCTTATCATCCCTGTGTTACAGATGATGAAACAAAACCCAGAGAGTTCACATAATTACCCTTGGGGACAAGAACGGGTCTGGTTTCCTGCATAAAACACACCATAACTTAATATGCTTCCAACTGCCCGACTCCCACACATAGCATATCAAATTTTCAGGCTAATACTTGTTTTTCAGATGTCTAACTGCCGTTTCCACGTCTATGGTGCCAGTTTCATTCTTTCTATTCACAGTCTGTAATAGGATGACTCATTGTCCCCTCGTACCCATTCTCTCCTTTTTCATAAGAGAATCCCCATATTTCAGTTGTGACATGGCTTCTCCAAGACTATGCTTCCCAGCCTCCCTTGCATTTCGGTATGGCCATGTGACTAACTTCTGTCCAATAAGATGTGAGTAAAAATGCTGAGGACAATTTCTGAGTTATCCCTTAATAAGAAGGAATGTGTTCTGTTTCCTGTTTTCCTCATATATTGACTAGAATGTGGACGTGGCGGTGAGCCATTTTGGACCATGGGGGGTTGGCAGAACAATGAGATGGAAGGATCTTGGGTTTCTGACACAGGGAAGCCGCCAGACGAGTCCTAAACTAGTTATATCCTGATAGTTACATGAGGGAAACATGAATACACATCTTGTCAGAATCACTGTTATTTTGGGTTTTGGGACTGCTCCACGTTTATCCTAATTAATACTTGATCCAATGTACAAATACCTGGATAGCTATGTAAGAGGAGGCTCTGAAAAGATAGGACTATTCTTTACTGAATACCAATTCATTTTGCAATGATGAAACCATGCTGAATGGTTCTGAACGTAAATATCTGACCCTGATTGAAGACCTTACCTTTACTCCCTTCCATGCTGCATTTTCTCCTACTGCGGGAAACTCAGGTCATTTGTTTCCACAAATGAAGCTAGATGTTGTCTTGTTCACTAGGCCAGGCATGTAGCTATTATACTGTGAAGGCATCCAGTTAACATGGATGAGAGAAGGTATGAAGTAGAACAGTCCTGGGCTAGGAGCCAGGAGACCCACGTTCTGGGCCAAATCGCTGTGTCACTTAACTTCTCTAGGCCAAAGTTTCAACACTGAAATTCTACAGTTCTTCTTAAATAACCTTCACTGGTAGCTAGTAACCTTAGATTCAACTGTACAGTTGACTCTACAAGTCATGGCTGAGCCTCGGTTGCCTTAGTGGAAGTTGGGAATATCTAACATCATTAGACGGAAGGCACCAGAGAATAGAAAAGTGGTCATTTCCAAACATGCTTCTTCCAATGGCCCTGAAGAAGTCTGGGCAGGCCAGAGAGAATGGAGGAGTTAGAGGGATTTCCATTCCCTGAGGACACCGAAAGTTAGAGCATCTTCCAGGGTTTGGCAGGAGGGGCAGCACTGGCTTAGGGGCTGGACAAATCTTACTCATGTGGGTCTGTCCTGTGTATTGCATGAGAGTCAGCATCCCTGAAGCTTGTTTACTGAAATACCATTACATATTTCCATATGTCCTATAGGAGACAAAGAAACCCACAGTTGGGAACCATTACCAGCCAACCCCTTCATTTTACAGTCAAAGAGAGGTTTAGAGGGTTCAGTGACTTTGCCCAAGGCTACCCGTCCTCTGGTGACAGAGATGGGACCAGGTGCAAGTAGAATGGTCCTGGTTAAGTTTTCTCTCTCTGACCTTGGATAAGACTCCAATAGAACCACTGTTCTGGGTCAACCAGACCAGCGGACTCTAAAGCAGGGTGGTGGTGCATCCCCCTGGGTGAGCAAGACAATCTACTGAGATGCTGGGGGCAAACAGAAGAACTTTCCATTTCTGTTTTACCTCCTCCTTTAAAGTTTTGTGGGATTTTATAATGTACATAATACATTAGAGTAGCACATGTATACTTAATAAATTCAGACATACATATATACATATACAAAGGTCGGACAATTAAGTTCGTGAACTTGTTGCAATAATGTTGCTAACCTTTTTGATATCAGAGGAATTATTCATTATGAATTTGTACCAGCTGGACAAACAGTTCACCAAGTTGACTATTTGGAAGTGCTGAAAAGGCTGCGTGAAAAAGTTAGACGACCTGAACTTTTTGCCAACAATTCGTGGCTCTTGCATCATGACAATGCACCAGCTCACACAACACTATCTGTGAGGGAGATTTTAGCCAGTAAACAAATAACTGTATTGGAACATCCTCCCTACTCACCTGATCTGGCCCCCAATGACTTCTTTCTTTACCCAAAGATAAAGGACATATTGAAAGGATGACATTCAGGACATCAAGGGTAATACGATGACAGCTCTGATGGCCATTCCAAAAAAAAAAAGTTCCAAAATTGCTTTCAAGGGTGGACTAGTTGCTGATGTCAGTGCATAGCTTCCCAAGGGGAGTACTTCAAAAGTGACCATAGTGATATTCAGCAATGAGGTATGTAGCACGTTTTGTAGGATGAGTTCGCAAACTTAATTGTCAGACCTGTATGTACATGTTTAAATATTTTTCAACTGACAGTATGCATGATCAAAAAGTATGAAGACCACCAGTTTAAACATCCTTTTCTATTTCTAACTCTAAAAAAATTTACCAAATTGCCCTGATTTGTTTTGCTATTTATTTTTCCAGGATGAAATTTGTAGGTTGTTCTTCCAAGAAAAATATAGGTGTCAAGTCCTAACCAAATCAGAAGTCTCTATATAAGCAGATTATCAACGATGCATCAGAATTCCATATAATCAGCCAAGTGATTTTGGTCATTTCATCACTTAAATCAGACTAACCATTTGTCAACCCAATCTTTTGTTTGACATTTAATCCAGAAAATCCATCAACCAGTTTTAGGGGACCCAGTTCAGTCTTATTGAGAAGGTCTGGAATGGTTAGAGGAAGTAAGGAAAGGAGAAGGAGACGGGGGTGGAAAAAAACCTACCTCTACAGTGGTGTTCACTTGTTTAAATATTTTCTCTCTTTTCTATCTTTTTCACCTAGTTTTGGAACACCGCTTAAACTATTTCAGCATTTAAAAACATTCCTCTTAAACTTACTCTGCCTTGGGAGATGAAGCAGCACATACAAGAATAAATGTGGCTTCTTTCTAAATTATTAACAATTCACCCGGTATGCTGTACAGACCTGCTTACACTAAACCAAAGAAGCATCTTCACTGGGTCTTCATCAGTGCTAGGGAGATGCAAGAAAATCAACACATGGATGAAAAGAGACCTTCTGAATCCTGGATTGGGGCAAGAGTTGAACTTTTTCTAAAGCACACTTACAAAAATCACCTGATGATCTGATTGTCCCTGGAAAGGAGGAAAACAAACAAACAACACCATGAAGAGGAAAATAAAACTTGCTAGAGTAAAACGAATCCTTCTGCTATGCACAGCCAAGGGCAGCGAGCCCACATCTTCACAGTGTGAACTGTGACCTCTCACGCAGTCTTGCTCCATGCCAGATGTGGTGCTGGGGGCTCTGCGACCATGACTTCATTTAATGCCCACCACATCTTTATGCTACAGGATGATATGATAAAAGACAGAGGTTCCCAAACTTTCTGTTCATGGCACCTTTAGGGTCTCAGTAATATTTTTACAGCACCTCTAATCCAAAAAAATAAATAAATAAAAGCCCAACAGTTCCATTTATTCAGTTCCATTTAGTTATACCTAAATGACTCAGTAATACTAGTTCACACAGATGTTGCTGTTTCCTTTGCAAAGTTCAAACACTCCATCGTGCCCCTGGGAGTTGGCTGCAGAGCCCCAGAGCACCCTGGCACACAGTTTGGAGCCAAAGATACACTCTCGATGATGTAGACCCCATCCGAATCCCTGTTTTGTCAATGGGGGAACCGAGACCCGGGAAAGTGACCCAGCCGGCTGGTTGTAATACAGGATTTGGAATGCAAGTCAGAATCCAGAGCCCACTCTGCTATAGCAGACCCCTCCCCTCCCATCTTCCTGGCTCACTGACCACATCTAATCATTATATCCTCTCTCCATGACGACTATTCTGTGTGTACCTCCTCCCACCCCCACCCAAACACACAGCACGCGGGCAGATATGCACACACATGCTCATTCTCCTGGTTCAAACCATTCCTTACCATGTGAATACCCCTCCCTCACCTCTGCCTTTCCAGAAATTGCCCTGCTTCAGTTCTCAGTCCCAAATTTTACCTCTTGACCACTTGTTCCTACACTAACCTCTCCCTCTTCAAAACCTCTGTCTGTCTGTTAAGCAGCATGCTAACGACACCTGGTCTCATGTTGCTCCCTAGTTGTTTAATTGGCGTGACTGTGGTTTTTCCAGTAAGACTGAAAGCTGCCCAAGAACAGGGGCTCTGTGGTTTCTTGTGCTGGGTGTGCAGCGCCAACTATGGAAGTTACTTGAAATCAGCAAAGTAGTCAAATGCTATCATTTGATAGTATACTCTAATGCCAGGCTGTGATTAACAGAGAGAATGTATTGGGTCGTCAGGAAAGTCATGATGTATTTTTCTGTTTTTCAATGCAAAAAATGTGTCGTGACTTTCCCGACGACCCAATATTTAACATGAAGGCAATGACCATCAGGAATGATAATTGACATCTCTATGGTTTCGTTCTAGTTTACCAAAGGCTTTCACATACACAATTTTACTTGGCACTCACAAAAGTGTAATTGTTATACCCTTCTCATGGGAGAAAGGTGAGGTTTAGACAGGTAAGTGACTGCAGCCAAAGTTACCCAACCTGCAAGTGGAGGAAGGAGATCTGGGAGCCCAGGGTGCCGGCCTCTCTTCTGGCCCGCTGTTCTATGTTTGCACTTAAGTGGCCTTCCCAGAGATGCCAGCGTCTCAGGTTCATGTGATGGGGCAGAATCTCGATTTCAGAAGCACTGTCCAGACTCCAAGACAACTGAAACCAGCATGTGCACCCCCTGCCTGGACTGTGTTCCAGGCAGAGCAGTGAGCCACAGCCACTGCAGGACAGGAGGCTGGTGGCTGGAGACACTGCTGAGGACACTGCCAGCCCTTTGGTGGGGTCCAGGGTCTTGCTGAAAGTTCTGGTGCTACTGAGGGGAGATGGAACCCCAGCTAGTGGTTTCCTAGGTGGGGACAACCCAACTTCCCCCCTAGGATAAAATGAACCACAGGATTGGGGCTGAAAGCTTCTGAGACTCATGAGGGGTGCTTAGGCAAAAGTCTGAAATTAAAAGCATAGCAGGCTACGTACACACGAGCTGAAAATGCGAAGCTCTTCTTTTTGAGTCATGAGGGCTTTGGTAAAATGAGCCCCAGCAGGGCTCAGAAGTCAGTCCGCCCTGGGTTTACAGTCCACTCCATTACTTGCTAATGCATGGTCAGGTGAACGTCATTTCACTTCTCTGAGTCTCAGCATCCTTGTCAGTGAAATGAGGTCATAGGATAGTTATGAAGATTAAATGGAAAAGCAAATGGAAAGCATGAGAGATAAAGCCTGGCAGGTAACAGATGCTCAGTAAGGGATAGATAGCTACTTATCATGGATGACAAATAGGTTTCCATGTACTGCGCCTAGCAGGCATGTATTAAATGGGCGTTACGAACATAACCGCCACCACCATTATAGCAGCATTCTGGTCACTAATGCTAACTCCTTGCCGAGCAACCCAAAAGGCTTTAACCCGTAGGACAACTGTAGTAGAATGGGGGAAGGAGGGAGAAAGTGAAAGGAAAGAAAACAGAACATGCCTAAGGCAGAAAAATTCACCCAGGGAGGCCTTGACAGGAAACAGAAAAGAAATAGATGAAGGGCCAACAATTAGTTAGTGTAAGGACAGAGTGCCGGGCTCGAGAAGAAAAGCAAACAACCTGGATCCTTTGAATGTACACTTCAAATCACATCATTTTCTTTTGCATTGTGTCTCCAGGCAGCTGGGAAGATACAAACGTGTACTCTTTATTTGTAAAGCTTTATTGGGGTTTCAAAAAAAATTAGAGGTGAATGTTATGAAGAAAAGAAGAGGAGAAACAGCTATAAGGTGGCTGTTTTCTCACATGATAAATAGGGTGGGTTGAATCTAGGATAAAAGCTCTGATGCCAGAACTGGTTCTTCCAAAGGCTGCCTTTCTGGAGATATAGACGCACATGAAGCTCATTTGTAATTTCTCAAGGACTGTACAATGTTAATTATGATCATTACATATCCAGCAGCACACGCACCCCATATTAGAAATCCTTCTGAATATCGCTGAAATGCCAACCACGGATGAGCTTTGAGGGGCTGCCAGGATGGAGATACTCACAGTGGCTGAGGTGTTGTGGCTGAGCGGCACGCTATGGGACTGCTCCTGCAGGGACTTATCTACGCCGACCTCAGAGTAAAAAACCTGGGAAAGACGCAGACGCCGGAGTGAGAGCAGGGCTGGGACTTCTCCACCAGATGAAGGGCCCGGGCTTCTAAGTCACTCACCCTTGCAGTGGGTTCTGAGGTGCCCTGCCTCCTCTCATATACACTAGTTCTGTGAAAACAAACATCAGACACACCTGCCCAGGGTCACAAGCTTGTAAGCCTGCAGAGGCCAGGAGGAAGTTATGCGTCAGTGAGGTGTGATGCACAGGGTTGGACCCAGCTCCCGCTGTTTTGCTCAAAAGCATGACTCTCAGGTAATCTTTCATTTTCCTACTTTTGACAGGACATGAGTCCAGAAGCACATTTCTCTACTTTAAGAAGACAAAAGCACAAGGCCATTGATAAATGACTGCTCTCCCTTGGTGAAAGGGTGGCAGTAGGGGATGGTGGGTCTAGGGTGTCATGGGGCATGGAGGGGCTTACATCCCATCTAAGTGGACAGCTCAGCACCAGGCGACTTGGTACCCCAAAGTGATGCAGGCCCCGTGCAGCCAGCTCTCCCCATATTCCCAGGGATTCCAGAACTTTAAATACTTATCTGAAGTCTCCTGACTTAAAAAAATAAAATAAAAAAATAAAAAATAAAGTTGTTCAAAGAAAACATTTTGATGAACTTCAATCAATCCAATTTTGTGACCTCTGATAGGTAGGAATGCATTCTTTCGTTCCGCCTTCACTTTGCCTGTCCACCCCTTTACTTGAATTCAGATTTTACCTTGTTTTGTGCTTATTGACAACATTCTACCATGACTCCCTATTATTACCCATGTTTCTGCTTTAGTCTCCAAACTCAGCTGTAGGCAATTGGATACAGGAGCCATGTCTTCTACTTAGTTTCGATTTTCCCATCCCTGAACAGAGTAAGGGCTGGGTGAATCCTAGCTGACTTTCAAGTCACTTTCAAACACCCTTGAAAGGAAACCATTTCCTCTGGCTTCATGGAGGGAGAATGGGGCAGTTATTAGCAGGGGAGGGCTGATACAAAGAGGCCATATCTAGGAGGGGCAAAGATGGGAAGGACATGTAGTTACCCTAAAACACTCACTACAGAAATCCCTGTGCCCAGGTACTCACAGTATACCCGATGATGGGGCGCCCAGGATGCCTTGGCATGTTCCACTGGATGCTGAAAGCTGTACAGTTCAATGTGTCCACCGTGATATGGAGAGGAGACCCCATCTTGCCTGTTTTGTTGGTGCCAAAACAAAAGAGATTGTGTTAGAAGCTCCATGCATCCTACCTTGGGTATACTTACGTGTGTGTGTGTGTGTGTGTGTGTGTGTCCTTTTTTTCTTTTTCTTAATTGTTATGTTCCTTATATATATTTACAATTTTAAACCCTGGATTCCCTAGGATAGTTCTGATTGTAAAGCATGTCCCACAATTGTTCCCTTGGATTCCTCATCCTACTGGAAGCTAGAGGGGCATCACCACAGGACATGAAGGTGCAGAGAATGGCCCAGGCCAGGTCTTACAACGTCTAGGGGAAGAATGAAGGGCCATGACAGGGACCTGGCTTCACGTCTTCGTGAAGATTCTAAACTAGAGCTGGCAGGGAAGCCCAGTGCTCTGAGCACGCCGCTTTCACACAGACTTACATGTCTCCACATACTGATTGGAAGATGTTTTTCTTTCTCAAAATAACTAACATTTATACGATGCTATAATTATTGTTATTGTTTTAATTTTCAGATCATTTTAAAGGAAATAAATTGGGGGAAATATTTGCAAGCCATATACCTGCTAAGGCATTCATACCTAATATATAAAGGAACTCATACAACCCAATAGCAAATTACAAATAATTCAATTTAAAAATGGGCACAGAATCTAAATAGACTTTTTTTTCCAAAGAAGACATACAAATGGCCAGCAGGTACATAAAAAAGATGCTCAACATCACTAATCATCATGAAAATGCACATCAAAACCACAATGAGACAGCACCTCACCCCTGTTAGAATGGCAATTATCAAAAAGACATGAGATAACAAGTACTAATAAGGATGTAGAGAAAAGAGGACCCTTGTGAACTGTTAGTAGGAATGTAAGTTGGTGCACCCACTATGGAAAACTATGTGGCATTTCCTTAAAAAATTAAAAACAGAACTACCATATGATCCAGCAATCCCATTTCTGGGTATTTATCCAAAGAAAACGAAAACACTACCTCTAAAAGATATCTGTATACCCATTTTCATTTCAGCATTATTCACAATAACCAAGATACGGAAAACAACCTAAATGTCCATCAATAGATAAATGGGTAAATGGATAAGATGTAGTACATGTCTACAATGGAATATTATTCAGCCAAAAAAAAGAAGAAGGAAATCCTGCTATTTGCAGCAACATGGATAAAACCTGAGGGCATTATGCTAAATGAAATCAGGTAGACAGAGACAAACAAATACTGTATGATTTCACTTATATGTAAGAATCTACAAATAGCCAATCTCATAGAAATAGAGAGTAGATTGGTAGTTTTGGGGGTGGGGGAGGAGAAGAATGGGAGAAAGTAGTCAAAGGGTACAAGCGTCCAGTTATAAGGTGAGTAAGTTCTGGGGATCTATACTGTATTATACTGGAAGGTTGCTAAGATGTTAAAAGTTCTCACCACACACACAACACACAAATGGACAATGGTGAGGTATTAACTGACCTTATTGTAGTCTTCATTTTGCAATATATTACACGTATTGAATCGTCATGTAAAACACCTTAAATTTACACAATGTATATGTCAATTATACCTAAATAAAGCTGAAAATTAATTAACTAATGTGTGTGGGGTGAGAAATAAAAAACCAGCTAGAACTCCCTGCTCCGTTCCACTTCCCCTTCTTCCTCTCTTCCAAAAGTAACAACCATTTGGCATTACTGTGTCTCACCCCCGATGAATTTACATACTCTAATTTTAGCTGCACATTTTTAAAAGTTTACTGGAAACAACCTGTTAATGGGTAAAGGAATGGATAAACTGTGGTGTATCTATACAACACACCACTACCTTTCGCATGTGAACACTTATTTGTTTAATAAGAGACACCTATCTGAAGAAAGAGAGAGAGATGCCGATGAAGACCTTTGTAAATATTAAAGCATTACTCAAATATTAGCCAGCTTCTGATCTTCCCCTCATGGACGGCATAGCAGTCATCATTCTTTGGTTCCTAAATCCACTGCCACTTGTCCACATGCCTTTCAGTCTCTAAAATTTCATTGTTGCCATCTTCTGTCTGTTTTCATTTGTCCTGCTGATTAATGCTCTTTCCTCCAATTTACAAGCATTTTAGTGGGTTTTTTAAGGGACCGGTAGTAAATGTTTGTTCAATCCATCATGTTGCACCAGAAGTCAATTAATCCTCATAACAATGTGAGGTGGCGGGGAAGACATAATTCCCACTTTACAGATGAAGAAGCTGAGGTCTGGAGTCAGTTTGTGTAAGATCTTCTCAATGGGACAGAAGGCAGAGACAGTGAGAAACAAGGTGCTGATGGTCTTGCTCTTCCCACTCCTTAACACTGGCACTCTTGGTGGTTCTGCCCAACCTCCTCTTCTCAGCTCCCACCATGCCCTCTTTCAGGATGATCTGATCCCTGCCAGTTGCTCTGATCCCTACATATATGCTGGCAGCTCCCTAATCTATTTCTCCAGCCCAAGCCTTCTTTCAGAAGGGCAGGCCTATGTACCCAACTGCCAAGTGGCCCAAGATGTCACGCAGGCCCCTCAAAGTCAACATGTTAAAACTGGATTCGTCATCTTTCTCTTCAACCTGAACCCCTCCAGCAACCCCTGCCCTTGTAAATGGCATCACCAATCACCATGGCTCCTAGAAACCTGGAAGTGACCCTCAGCATCAAATTAGTCATGAGGTATATATATTCTTCCATGCATGGAGGACTCAGAATCCTCTTCAACCCAGCACCTGGAGCAACATTACCAACTGTTCAGAGCTGTGCATGCAGTGTAATGATTTGTCATTTGTCAAGACCTCCCCAAGGGTTTCTCTGGTCTTTCTGGATCTTAAGAGAGTTTCCTTCCCGCAGCTTCCTTAGTCTGCACCCTCCACTGGAGAATGTATGTTAGTCAACTAAATGAAACTTTTTTTTTTCTTCTGCAAAGCAGTTGAATGCAACATGAAGGTTGTTGGGGCCATAGGATTGGTGGTTTTAGGAGGGGTGTATGAATGGCCATCTGGTTGGAAGGAAGCACCAGAGGCCTAGTCTCAAGGCACATGTGCATGGCGAGCACAGCGTTTCTCTCCTTGTGTGTTTGTTTGAATTGTCCTTGTGGGTAGGGCAGGTCTCCAGCTGGTGGCTGTGTGAAGCTGTGTTGGCAAAGCAGACATACCGCTTATGCACAGATTGTATGATTACTGGCATATATATATATATATATATATATATATATATATATATATGGAGGAGGGTAGGCTAAAGGCAGGAGTCAGCCACCCAGTACTCCCCGATCCCAGAAACCAGTAGGAGAAGTCATTACACATGGCCTGAAAATCAGCTTAGGAGACAAGGAGACATCGATAGGTGGTCCAAACTTGGGTGAGCTAATCAAAGTAATTTTTTTTAAAAGATTTTATTGGGGAATTGGGGGAGGGGAACAGACAAGTTGCTGTCCTTTTGTTCTTCAGTCTAGTTGTGGAGGACGTCGCTTCACTGGCCAACTTCACATGTTGGTATGATCATTGCATTCTTCCTGGGTGAGGCAGTCGCTCGCCAGCTGCTCATGGCAGCCCACTGCAGTCCCACTACAGCCTACGCCATCGCCGGCGACTCACGGCAGCCCAGGTCCAGGTCGAGCTGTTGTTCACCATCTTAGCTGTAGAGGGCGCAGTGTCACTGGCCCACATGTGGGATCCGAACCGGGGCCCTGCTGCTCAGAGCTGGCATCCCAAGCCAACTCTTAACCAACGCCACTCGACCGGCCCCAAAGTAATTCTTAAACCTCTTCCAGCTATCCCAGTGAAAGATAAGAGTGGAAAAATTTTCCTCACATCTCTACAATTTCTGAGTCATCAGAAGAAAGTCTAATCTTTGGATAAGACAAGTCAAGCCGCAGCTATACTTTCCAAAAACTCAATGAAGCAAAAACATTTTGATAAAGATTATAATACTGAGGTCTTCTGGGGTTTAATTTATTATAATATAATATAAAAACATACTAGTGCTCCCTCAATATTTTAAAAAAATTAAGTAGTAGGCCACTTACATTGGACTAAATGAGATATAAGCAGTTAAATAGAAAAATTGCACTCATATTTAACCAACAATGGCTACAATGACAAAAAACATATTACATAATAAAAAACTAGTTTTGAAGAATAGCAGCCTTTAAAACTAGTATAATGCAGACCTATCAAGATGGCACAGTAGGTAAACACTGTTCTTACCTTCTCTCACACCACATCAAAATTATAACTAAGGAAACAACCATCATTGAGAATTGCCTGAAGTTTTGCTGAACTATAGCCCTACAATGAAGGACATCCAGAAGAAGCCACCTCAAGACTGGTAGGAAAGGCAGAGATGCAGAATGGGCTGGTCCCATACCCGAGTCTGACCATTAAAAATCAGAAGGGATATCTCGGCTGTGGAGGTCCCCACCAGAGAAGTGAGGGGTCCCAGTGCTGCACTAGGCTCCCCAACCCAGGGTTCCAGTGCCAGAGAGAAAAATCCCCATAATTTCTCACTGTAAAAATCAGCATAAATTGTGGCTGACTGGGATGGAGGACAGCTACACTCTGAGGTGTTCCTCTTGGAGGGTCCGCCAACAGACTTACTCGCTGATGGACTCACTCACTCTGAGCTCCAGCACTGGGGCAGCAGCTAGAAAGGCAAAAGGGACATATGAGGAGGAACTGAGTTACCTGGCTTCAGGGTGAGGGGCGGAGGGGCAGCTTTCTCCCGGAAGGAGGAGCTGTCAGAAGCCGTCGTTTCTTTGTTGAGCCCTCTCCCTCCCTGTGTGCAGACAGGTGGCTGCCATACCTGAGCCTCCATCAAGTGGGCTGACACCATTCATTCACCACACCCTGGTGATTCCGATACTGCGCCCCACCCAAATTTCTGGCACACCCAACTGCTTTCAGTAGCTTTTTCATACAAACTGCCTGCCTTGGCTGATGCTGCAGACTTTCTTAGAGTCTCTCAAAGAGTCACAAAACCCAAA